TAATAATTATTATTATTATTATATTGTTTGCTTCGTAAATATTTTCTATTCATTTCAAATTTGTAATCATAATTCCCGATCAGAAATAATCATGGTGTATAGAGTATACGCAAAATAATATGGCTTGCGATCTGCATAAACGCGTACAGGTTTCTTTCTTTTTTTTCTTTTTCTTTTTTCTTTTTTGTTTTTATTTTTCTTTTTTTTTTTGTTTGTTCTTTTTTTCTTTTTTTTTTAACTACGCGTACTTCACACAGCATAGTATTCGAAATTTAATTAAACAACAATTTAATTTAATAATCCAATTTCGATACTTACTTTTTTTAATATATCACTTAATTATAATACTTTTTTAATTACATCTTATTCGATATTAATTCGAAATTACAAAACTTTTTATTCGATCTAAAGAGAAAAAGAAAAAAAAAAAGAAAAAAGAAAAAATTACTCGACCTCGCGAAACATATTTTAATAATATTATAACTCGTTCCAAAAAAAGAAACAAACAAATAAATAAATAAATAAATAAATAAACAAAAGAGATAAATAAATTAAAATTTTTTCACGTATCTTCTTCTTTTTAATCCATTAGCGAAGCAAACTTCGCTTCGATCTTTTTTTCCATTTTCTCTTTTCTTTTTTTCTGCGAACGTAAGCGAGAGGCAAAAAAAAAGGAAAAGAAAAAAAAAAGAAAAAAAAAAGGATAAAAAAACAAAGAAGAAAAAAAAAAGATGTAGTAATTTTATCGAAAGAACATGCGATACTGTTTGCAGGTTAAAAGGAGTATAATGTTGAAAATGGCGGATGCTTGTCAGGAAGCTAATAAGCACAAACAGACCAGGTTTCATGAGATGTACGTGCAACGACATAACAATGTCAGGTCAGTTACGATCGAACACGAATATATTAGCTGTGAACATCGAAAGGTATACAAAATTTATATGCAGATGATGTTTTATATATATCTACACACACATACACACACACAAACATATATATATATATATATATATATATACGAGTGATTGATTTATAAAATTATCTAAAAACTTTTGTTCTAATTGCAAATTAAATTGATTTTACAAATCAATCATTTTTTTTTTCGAAACCTTTTAGAATAATTTTCTATCTCTATTGTTTTTTCTTTATTTTCTTTTTCTTTGTTTTTTTTTCTTTTTTATTTTCCCTCTTTTTTTTTTTTTTTTTTTTTTTTTTTTTTTTTTTTTTTTTTTTTTTTTTTTTTTTTTTTTTTTTTTTTTTTTTTGATAGATCATAAACAAGTTCCTAGACTTGTGTAGTTTTACGATCTGACAAAAAAGAACATGAAACTAGACTAAAAAGTAGTCTGATGAAAGAAAAAAAAGTAATCAACTTTTTTCAAAATCACTTAAAAAAAAAATCTTTTGACCTATATTATGTATAATATCGAATAGAAAATATCGAGTTTAATATCATTGAACCATGATAAAGTTGATTACAAAAAGAGAGAGAGAGAGAGAGAGAGAGGATAAATATTCAAAAGGTCTCGATACGTCTCTTCGTATTGGTTATTTACATCCCAATGAGATTAGATCTGGAGATTAGAGTGTTATGATGCATAGAAATTATGTTCATCAAGATGTGGCTTAATTAGACACGTAAACGCAGAGCCAAATGAACGAGTAGAATAATCAAATCAGATTCTAATGATATTGCATATGATAGAATAATTGGGGATAGATTAGAAACGTACGAGAAACATGTTTAGTCTTCATTTTTCTCTTTCTTTTTTTTTGTTGTTTTTTTTTCTCGAATATTTATACGTCGATACTTTGAAAAATTATATTTCAATTTTTCTTCCGACAATTAAATTTTATATATTTTTTATATTTTTTTAAAGAGAGAACTCTACTATAGAATACAATATAGTATATAAAAATATTGGTATAGTATAATAATGTGTCAGTCTATTCTTACAATTTTATTTTTATGGTATATAATATTATTAATGTAGTAATATTTAATATAATATATAGTATATTATATAAAATAGTTTATATATACTATATTATTAATAATATTATACAAAAAAAAACAAGTAATCTCTGTATACTATTAGTATAACTTAATATAACTATTATACTATATATAAAATTATACTATACTATACTGTATTATATTATTAATAATACTAATAAGAAGAAAAAAAATGATAGATAATGTATAGAATAATAATAGTATAACGATATTAATATGCTAATAGTATTGCATATTAGTTTAAAGAATAACTTGCTAATAGTTTAAAGAATAAAAAATTACATGAAGTCAAACTAATAATATAACTATTATATATTAATAATATATTAAACTAAACTAACTTATTTATTTTTCATTTTTTATTTATTTATTTTTTCTTTTTTTTTTCTTTTTTTTTTTCTTTTTTTTTTTTTTTTTTTTTTTTTTTTAATACAACAAAAATTTAAATCAAACAAAAGTCAAAATTTTAATATAAAGTTCTTCG